GTGGGGGGTGGCTAGCATGCGGATAGCTTTGATTTGCTCCGCGCGACAAAGCAGGCAGGGGACTATGTAGCGATGCTGCGGGGCGAGAGGGTGAAGAGTGTCCCGAAGATTTTGTATTGAGAATAATAACCCACCGAACGTAGTTTTATAAAGAGGGGCCTACATTTTGAAACTAGCATAGCGCTACACATGTTGTTATAAATGAATATTAGTGAGACTGGGCGACGGCAAGCAACACGACTCTGGCGGGTTAAAAAGGCAAGAGCGTGATTCCATCGAGGCACAGGGCCCCGCCCTCGTCTTCTCCGTCCTTGACAATGTGCTGCTGCTTAGGAGGGCCGTGCTTTATGCACGCCTCAGACACGATCTCCGCGCCATTGTCGACCGCACGCGCGTCTTTGGGTATGTTTTTTTTTTTTTCTTTCTTTTTTTGTTTTGGTTGCTGTTGTTTGGTTCCGCTCATCTCTTACACGTTGCTCGTGTGTGTTTTTTTTTTTTTTTTTTGGGGATTTTTTTTTGCCGCGCCGTGCAGATGGAACGCGTTTGTGTTCCAGAGCACGCTGCATCTCTGCTTTATGATCCCCGTGTGGTATTTTGTGAATGCGATCTTCGATGCCAAGGACGAAGGGGACACGTACGTCGGGAGTGTAAGCAGCTTTTTGATGCTTGGTCTTACCGTTTTTCAACTGCTCGATGTCTTTGTCACGCCCATCCCGTTCCGCCTCAGCCACGTCTTTCCGGTACCAGTGTACAGCATGTTCATTTCCTTGGTAACGAGTATGTACATGATGATTCCTTTTTTTTCTTTTTTATTTCCATTTCCATTTCCATTTTCATTTTCGTTCTTCTTCCCTGCCTCGTCTCTAACCTGCTTGTGCTTTGCGTGTCAGTGCTGCGCTTTCGAGAACGCTTTTCTACCGCCGTCGTGCTTTTCGTCGGGCTCGGGGGGTTGGTCGTGGGGCTCGCCCTGCATTTGGTGGGACGCCTTGCGTATCTCGTGGTACATATTCACCGCGTCACGTCGGACAACATGATGCCGCCGGTGATGCCGCCGGTGATGCCGCCGGTGATGTCGCCCGTTAAGTCGCCGGTGTCGCCGCCACCACCTTCCGGGAGCAGCATCCCTGAGTTTTAGTACAGTAGTGGCCACACTACCCTTCGAAGGGTAGTTTCGGAAAGACTCGATGGATGTGATGTGTATGAGTTGAGGGAATTGCAAGAAAGAGATTAAAAGTGACAATTTTAAAACTACTGTAGCTTGGCTGTGCGATTTCAGGGAATTCCCAAGAAGGGGAAAAAATGGGGGAAAAAATGGAGAGACTACCCTTGGTAACAGCCCTACGACGACCGACCGTCCGTGCCCTTGGGATGTCCGTGCCGTCGGTAAAACTCCAATCTCGGAGCAGCATCCCCGAGTTTCTTACTGCTACAAAACTCCATGGAAACCATTCTATGGAAACCAATCTCGGAGCAGCATCCCCGAGTTTTTACTGCTACAAAACTCCATGGAAACCAATCTCGGAAACAAAACTCCATGGAAACCTGCGCTGCTGCCACCACGCCATTGGTTGCTCTCGGCCCATGGGCGTGTCCAGCAATGTGAGTGTAAAGCTGTACTGTAAGGGGGCGAAGGGAGGGGGGGGGGGGGGGGGGCGACCCGGATTTTGGGGTTTTGGGGTTTTGGGATTTTTGGGGATTTTGGGATTTTTGGGGATTTTGG